TTTTTATCTATATAACCATATTTATCTATCCATATACTTACCTATATACAGGGTTAGTCAAAATGAATAGGCCAATAAGAAAATTAATTTTAGACGAATGTATGTTTATTGTAACCAAACTACAGCTACGTAGCGACAGATAAACTATCAAAGTTTTGTCTCACCTTCAGAGATGTTCGATATGGGCGCCCCGTGTGACACGGCAGATGTCCAAGCGATAGTCCAGTTCATTCCACATCCGTTGCAGCACATCCGACGTAATGGCATCGAATGCAGCAACGTCTGGGAAGGTGTTCGTTGAGGTCCTAACCCTAACCCTAACCCTAACCCTAACCCTAACCCTAACCCTATCCCTAACCCTATCCCTAACCCTACCCTAACCCTAACCCTTGAAATTCTCGCTGGACCGTAATTACTGACATTGTTTTAGCAAATGTCATCACACAAAACGCCTTCTCTTTGCTTGATTCCGCCATTTTGAAAACAGCGACCCCTAGCGACGCCTAGCGGCATTAACGTACATGTGTGTTGCTCAAAAAAAACTTTGATAGTTTATCTGTCGCTACGTAGCTGTGGTTTGGTTACAGTAAACATACATTCGTCTAAAATTAATTTTCTTATTGGCCTATTCATTTTGACTAACCCTGTACATACATACATATCTATTCATCGGTCTATCTTCTGGTCTGTCTAACTTGTAAACATCTATTTATCTTCTTATCAATCTATTCATCTATCATATCTATCTTTCTTTTCATATCTATCTATCTATCTATCCTTCCATCCATCTATCCATCCATGCATCCACCTATCTACCTACCTACCTATCCATCCATGCATCTATCTATCTATCCATCCATCTATCCATCCATCCATCCATGCATGCATCTATCTACCTACCTATCCATCCATCCATCCATCCATCCATCTATCCATGCATCTATCCATCCATCCATCCATCCATCCATCTATGCATATATTTATCCATCCATCCATCTATTCATATATTTATCCATCCATCCATACATCTATGCATCTACCCATCCATCCAACCATACATCCATCCATCCATAGATGCATGGATGGATAGCTATCCATCTATCGATCTATCCATCTATCCATATAGCTAGCTAGCTAGCTATCTATCTATCTATCTATCTATCTATCTATCTATCTATCCATCCATCTATCCATTCATCTATGCATATATTTATCCATCCATCTATCCATCTATCCATACATCCATGCATCTACCCATCCATCCATCCATGCATCCATCTACCTACTTACCTACCTACCTACATATCCATGCATCTATCTATCCATCCATCCATCTATCTATCCTTCCATCCATGCCTCCATCTACCTTCCTACCTTCCTACCTACCTACCTACCTTCCTACCTACCTTCCTACCTACCTATCCATCCATCCATCCATCCATCTATGCATCTATGCATCTATGCATCTATCTATCTATCTATCTATCTATCTATCTATCTATCTATCTATCCATGCAATCATCTACCTACCTACCCATCCATCCATCCATCCATCCATCCATCCATCCATCCATCCATCCATCCATCCATCCATCTATCTATCTATCTATCTATCTATCTATCTATCTATCTATCTATCTATCTTCTTGTTTATCTTATCTATCTATCTATCTATCTATCTATCTATCTATCTATCTATCTACCTATCCATCCATCTATCCATCCATGCATCCATCCACCCATCCATGCATATTTCTTTCTTTCTTTCTTTTTTTTCTTTCTTTCTTTCGTGTCCTATCTATCCTCTTTCGCTTCCTCCCTCCCTCCCTCCCTGTCTTCTTCTCCCTCTCCCTCCCTGTTTCCCCCTCGACCTGCCCGGCTGAGAAGAAGGGGAGCAGCAGGGGAAGGAGGGGCCTGAAGACCCCCCCTCTCTCCCCCCTCCTGCCCTTTGTTGACCTTGGCTGCCCCCTCCCCCAAAGAAGTCCCCTTCCTTGCTGAGGAGATGGAGAGAACATGCAGGTGGGTCTCCTTTGAGGAGCGTCAAAGCCAAGCTCCTTCCGGGACGGAGAGGAAGCCAAGGATGAGGTCATGCTGCCCGGGAGCCTTGGCTGAAGGCCCTGGGGGGCTCTGGAAAGGTCAAGGGGCAAAGCCACCGCCCCCCCCCCCAAATACCTGTCCCGGCAGGTGTGTGGCTGCGGTCCGTCACCACGGCAACCCAGGGCCACTTCTCGGGCATCTCCTTGGGGATCGTCATGGTGACGGGATGGATGTGGGGTGGGAGGGGGGCTCAAAGGGAGGGGCGCCCCCTCTTCCTCCTCCTCTTCTTCCTCCCTCCTCCCCCCTCCGTGACCCCCATCCTCTTCCTCCTCTTCCCAACTAAACTCCGAGTGACATTGAAGGGCCTTAAGCCCCACCTACCTTCCCAAGGCAGCCAATCAGGGCCCTGGTTTTGGTTGGCTAGGCAACCATTTCGGGGGGGGGGGGAGATATCTCGTTAGGGAGATCTGTTTTGATGGACACAGCACACTTCTGACCTTTGGCCTATGCAAATCATTATTATTCGTAGTAGCAGCATAATATTTAGTAGTAGTAATAATATTGTATTTCTTATTATTATTAGTAGAACTATAAAAATATTTAATATTATTAGTATTGTTACTACTATTATTACTATTAAATCCTATGCAAATTATTATTATTAGTAGTAGTAGCATAATTTTTAGTAGTAGTAATAATATATTTCTTATTAGTAGTAGTAGTAGTATATTATTTAGTAGCAGTAATAATATAATATTTCTTCTTAGTAGTAGTAGTATATAATAATATTTAATATTATTAGTATTGTTACTATTATTATTACTATTAAACCCTATGCAAATTATTAGTAGTAGTAGCAGCATAATATTTAGTAATAGTAATAATATAATATTTATTATTATTAGAACTATAATATTTAATATTACTACTGTTACTATTATTATTACTATTAAACTGCAAATTATTATTAGTAGTAGCATAATATTTAGCAGTGGTAATAATATAATATTTCTTATTATTAGTAGAACTATAATATTTAATATTATTACTAGTTACTATTATTATTACTATTAAATCCTATGCAAATTATTTTTAGTAGTAGCATAATATTTAGTAGTAGTAATAATATAGTATTTCTTATTATTAGTAGAATATAATAATATTTAATATTATTGCTATTGTTACTACTATTATTACTATTAAACCCTATGCAAATTATTATTAGAAGTAGTAGCATAATATTTAGTAGTAGTAATAATATAATATTTCTTATTATTAGTAATACTATAATAACATCATATCCAGGGTTGAAGAAAGAACCCTTGTCTGTTTGAAGCAAGTGTGGATGTTGCAATTGGCAAGCTTAAATAGTATTATGTAGCAATGAAGTTTGCAAATTCAATCAGTGAGGGTATTTGCATAGAGGTAGCCTGGCCTTTGTTGCCTGGAAGCAACCCTCTGTGGAATCGTATCCAGGGTTGGAGAAAGAGCCCTGGTCTGTTTGAAGGAAGTGTGCATGGTGCAATTGGCAAGCTTGAATAGCCATGAAGCTAGAAAGTCAATCAGTGAGGGTCTCTGAATGGAGGCGGCCTGGCCTTTGTTGCCTGGAGGCACCCTCTGTGGAATTGTATCCAAGGTTGGAGAAAGAGCCCTTGTCTGTTTGAAGGAAGTGTGCATGGTGCAGTTGGCAAGCTTGAATAGGCATGAAGCTAGAAAGTCAATCAGTGAGGGTCTCTGAATGGAGGCGGCCTGGCCTCTATTGCCTGGAGGCACCCTCTGTGAAATCCTATCCAGGGTTGGAGAAAGAGCCCTGGTCTGTTTGAAGCAAGTGTGAGTGTTGGCAAGCTTAAATAGCATTATGTAGCAATGAAGTTTGCAAATTCAATCAGTGAGGGTATGTGCTTAAAGGTAGCCTGGCCTTTGTTGCCTGGAGGCACTCTCTGTGGAATGGTGTCCAGGGTGGGAGGACTTGTCTGCTGGAGGCAAGTGAGAATGTTGTAGTTGGCAAGCTTGATTAGAACTGTGTAGTGATGAAGTTTGCAAATTCAATCAGTGAGGGTGTCTGCATAGTGGTAGCCTGGCCTCTGTTGCTTGGAGGCACCCTCTGTTAAATCATATCCAGGGTGGGAGAAAGAGCCCTTGTCTATTTGGAGCAAGTGTGGATGTTGCAATTGGCAAGCTCGAATAGCCATGAAGCTATAAAGTCAATCAGTGAGGGTCTCTGCATGGAAGTGACCAGTGAAGTGAATTGTATCCAGGATTGGAGAAAGAGCCCTTGTCTGTTTGAAGCAAGTGTGAGTGGTGCAATTAGCAAGTTGAATAGCACTGAGTAGCCTTTTTAGCTGCAAAGTCAATCAGTGAGGGTCTCTGCATGGAAGCAACCTGGCACCCTCTGTTAAATTGTATCCAGTGTTGGAGAAAGAGCCCTTGTCTGTTTGAAGCAAGTGTGAGTATTGCAGTTAGCAAGCTTGGATAGCACTGTGTAGCATTGCAGCTGCAAAGTCAATCAGTAAGGGTCTCTGCATAGCTTGGCGGTTGTTGCCTGGGGGCACCCTCTGTTAAATTGTATCCAGTGTTGGAGAAAGAACCCTTATATGTTTGAAGCAAGTGTGAGTGTTGCAGTTAGCAAGCTTGGATAGCACTGAGTAGTCTTGCAGGTGCAAAGTCAATCAGTGAGGGTCTCAGCATAGCCTGGCCTTTGTTGCCTGGAGGCACCCTCTGTGGAATTGTATCCAGTGTTGGAGAAAGAGCCCTTGTCTGTTTGAAGCAAGTGTGGATGTTGCAATTGGCAAGCTTGAATAGCCATGAAGCTATAAAGTCAATCAGTGAGGGTCTCTGCATGGAAGCAACCTGGCTCCCTCTGTTAAATCATATCCAGTGTTGGGGAGTAAGAACTCTTGTCTGTTTGAAGCAAGTGTGAGTGTTGCAATGAGCAAACTTGAATATCACTGAGTAGCCTTCCAGCTGCAAAGTCAATCAGTGAGGGTCTCTGCATAGCCTGGCCTTTGTTGCCTGGAAGCACCCTCTGTTAAATCATATCCAGTGTTGGGGAGTAAGAACTCTTGTCTGTTTGAAGCAAGTGTGAGTGTTGCAGTTAGCAAGCTTGAATAACACTGAGTAGCCTGGCAGCTCCAAAGTCAATCAGTGAGGGTCTCTGCATAGCCTGGCCTTTGTTGCCTGAAGGCACCCTCTGTTTGGGAGGTCAGCCATAGCAGAGCACTTGATGACCCAACCTGGACACAGGGGAACTCCAGACAGCAAACGCTCCAGGGCCAGTGACCCACTCCCAAGCAGAGGGTGCCTCCAGGCAACAGTGGCCAGGCCACCCTCCATACTATTCATATTCCCCCCCCCCCCCCAAAAAAAAATGCCCCAAAGAAGGTATTTTTTCTTACCGGGGGGCTGCTTCTTCGCGCAAAATCCCATGGCTTTCGCTGTGGATTGATCAGGCCCATGGGAGACGCTGGACGGGAGGAGGAAGGAGGAGGAGACAGTAAACAGAGACACAGAATCTATATTGCACCCAGCGCTTACTTTCCGTGCACATTCATATGCATTGGACCCAAAGCAGATTGACAATATAGGTATCAATAATTACCAATAGTTATCAATATTTATCAATAGTTAATGATAGGAAACCCAAAGTGTATCAATAATATAGGTATCAATAAGTTTCAATAGTTATTGCTTATTATCAATAATTATCAAGTTCTCAATAATTATCAATAGCTATCAATTATTATCAATAATTATAATAGTTATAAATTATAACCATTCCCAATAATTATCAACAGCTATTGATTATCAATAGTTACAATAATTATCAATAGTTATCGATTATCAAGTCATTAATTTATTGTTCTCAATAATTATCAATAGTTATTGATATTTCCAATAGTTATCAAGTTCTCAATAATAATCAATAGCTATTGATTATTATCAACAGATAATAATAACTATTGATAATGATTGCACACAATAATTATTTATAATTGATAGTCAATAGTTATCAATAATTATTGTTCTCAATCATTATCAATCATTATCAATTATTATCAGTCATTATCAACTATCATCAAAATATATTATTATCAATAGGTATTGATTATTATGAATAGTGATCCATTATTATCAATAATTATTGATTATTATCAATAGTTATAATAATTATCAATAGCTATCGATTATCAATAGTTATCAATAATTATTGTTCTCAATCATTATCAATAGTTATCAATTATTATCAGTCATTATCAACTATCATCAAAATATATTATTATCAATAGGTATTGATTATTATTAATAGTGATCCATTATTAATAATAAAATTAGTTAATAATTTTGAGCCCTCTCGGCCTCAGTCTTTAAAACGTTCTTCTGTTATAGAACCATAAGAGTTGGAAGAGACCCCCAAAGGCCATCTAGTCCAACCCCCTTCTGCCCTTATGCAGGAAAAGCACCCTCAAAGCCCTCCTGACAGATGGCCATCCAATCTCTCATTAACTTTCCTATTAACAACTCTCAACCAAAGCCCCCGAGATGAGCCAGGAGCCTTTTGAGAAACCTCGAAACCAAGACCGAGAGATTGAGCTGTTAGACCGCAGGTTGTCTTGCTTCCTGTTTGCACGAAGGTGGCGAGAGAAGCAACGCAAGGAGGTGGAAGACAGCTTCAAAGAGTGCATCTACACTGTCCACTTAATCCAGTTTGGAACCCCTTTAACTGCGTTCTAAACTATTGATTGAATCCAATTTAGAATCCCTTTAACTGCATCTACACTGTAGAACTAATCCAGTTTGGAAGCCCCTTCAATTGCATCTACACTGCTGATTTATTTCAGTTTGGAACCCCTTTAAGTGCATCTACACTGTCCATTTAATCCAGTTTGGAATCCCTTTAACTGCATTCTACACTGTTGATCTAGTCCAGTTTGGAAGTGCCTGTAACTGCATCTACATTGTCAATTTAATCCAGTTTGGGCCTTCTTTAAGTGTGTCTACACTGTCCATTTAATCCAGTTTGGAACCCCTTTAACTGTATCTACACTATTCATCTAATCCAGTTTGGACCCCCTATAATTGCATTCTACACTGTCCATTTAATCCAGTTTGGAACCCCTTTAATTGCATCTACATTGTCAAACTAATCCAGTTTGGAACCCCTTTAAGTGTGTCTACATTGCCAATGTAATCCAGTTTGGAACCCTTTTAAGTGTGTCTACACTGTCCATTTAATCCAGTTTGGAACCCCTTTAAGTGCGTCTACATTGACAATCTAATCCAATTTGGAACTCCTCCTAATTGCATCTACACCATCCAATTTATTCCAGTTTGGGAATACTTTAACTGCTGCGGTTCAGTTCTGGGGAAGCCTGGGATCTGCAGTTCCGCAAGGCCTTTGCAAGGGAGGAGCAGGACGAAAGCGAAGGCCGTGGATGTGGAGCGGCCTCCTCGATTTGGAAGCGTTCTTCCTCCAAGTCAACATTTGGGTTTCGAAGCCACGAAAAGGCTTCCGGTGGAAAAGAACAAACAGGGCTGGCTTTCTGGCTCGTGTTTTTTTGCAAGAGTGGGAGAGGCCAGGCCTCACCCTCCCTCCTTCCCTTCCATCCCAAACCCTTCCATTCCAATATCAAGCCAAGGAAGGCCAAATATGCACACTCTGCACATGCCCAGAGGCACCCTTGCACGCCCGCTTGGCTGGCAAGTCCAGGGACTCCTTTGGGCGTGCAAGGGTGCCTCTGGGCATGTGCAAAACAAAGTCCCAAAAAGTAGCCCTTTGGGGGTCCAAAAAAGCCAGGGATGGGAGGAAGGAGGAAGGATCCAGAGGAGGAGAAGAAGGCTAAGATATCAAGAGATCAGCACTAAGAGAAGAGGCAGCAAAGGGCAAGGAATTGGACCCCAAACGGATGGGCTCGGATATCCCGGCCTCAGCATCTTCAGGAAGAAAAGAAAAGGCAAGGGTTGGAGCACAAACTGCACCCAAAATACGAGAAGCGGATCTGAAGATGTTGAGGCATCGGCACGTATATGGGGTTGGAAAGGAAAATATCGTGGCCGAGGAACGTTTTGGGCGGGCTGAAGCAATGATGACTACTATGTGTAGTAAGAGAATGAGACGTATTCGCCTCCCAAAGTAAACTCAAAGCATCTCAGAATCTCTCTCTCCATCCATCCAGCTCCCTAGGTACATATCTACTCATCTAGACACCTTTCTGTCTGACATATCTTTCTATCTATAGAACCATATACTTACCTAGCTACCTATAGACATACATACATATCTCTATTTGTTTGATCTATCTTCCTGTCTGTCTAACTTGTAAACATCTATCTATCTATCTATCTATCTATCTATCTATCTATCTATCTATGCATCCACCCATCCATCCACCCACCCATCCATCTACCTACCTGCCTACCTCTACCTACCTACCTACCTACCTACCTACCTACCCATCCATCCATGCATCTATCCATGCATCTATCCATGCATCTATCCATGCATCTATCCATGCATCTATCTATCTATCTATCTATCTATCTATCTATCTATCTATCTATCTATCTATCTATCCATCCATGCATCTATGCATCTATGCATCCATCCATCCATCTATGCATCTATGCATCTATCCATCCACCCACCCACCCATCCATCCATCTATCTACCTACCTACCCATCCAACCATCCATCCTTGCATCCACCCATCCAACCATCTATCCATCCATCTACCTACCTACCTACCTACCCATCCATCCATCCATCTATCCATCCATCTATCCATCCTTGCATCCACCCATCCAACCATCTATCCATCCATCTACCTACCTACCCATCCATCCATCCATCCATCTATCCATCCATCTATCCATCCTTGCATCCACCCATCCAACCATCTATCCATCCATCTACCTACCTACCTATCCATCCATCCATCCATCCATCCATCTATCCATCCTTGCATCCACCCATCCAACCATCTATCCATCCACCTACCTACCCATCCATCCATCCATCCATCCATCTATCCATCCTTGCATCCACCCATCCAACCATCTATCCATCCATCTACCTACCTACCTACCTACCCATCCATCCATCCATCCATCTATCCATCCTTGCATCCACCCATCCAACCATTTATCCATCCATCTACCTACCTACCCATCCATCCATCCATCCATCCATCCATCTATCCATCCTTGCATCCACCCATCCAACCATCTATCCATCCATCTACCTACCTACCTACCTACCCATCCATCCATCCATCCATCTATCCATCCTTGCATCCACCCATCCAACCATCTATCCATCCATCTACCTACCTACCTACCTACCCATCCATCCATCCATCCATCTATCCATCCTTGCATCCACCCATCCAACCATTTATCCATCCATCTACCTACCTACCCATCCATCCATCCATCCATCCATCCATCTATCCATCCTTGCATCCACCCATCCAACCATCTATCCATCCATCTACCTACCTACCTATCCATCCATCTATCCATCCTTGCATCCATCTATCCATCCATGCATCCATCTACCTACCTATATATCCATGCATCTATCTATCCATCCATTCACCCATCCATCGACCCATCCATGCATCTATCCATCCATCCATCCATGCCTCCATCTACCTACCTACCTACCTACCTGCCTGCCTACCCATCCATCCATCCATGCATCTATCTATCTATCTATCTATCTATCTATCTATCCATCCATCCATCCATCCATCCGCCCATCCATGGGAGAGTTTGGAACAGAAGAACGAGGGTCTATGTTGCACCAAAGCGGGGGACGTTGGGATCTCAACTTTCTGTATTCAAATAATAGTGATTTCATATTGTGTGATGTGTTCATTTATACTGTTTCTGGTCTTTTATTTTTATATTTTATTGTTGCATTCTTACAGTTGTACATTTGCATCGTTGTATTGCTGGGCCTCATGTAAGCCGCCCCAAGTCCCCTTGAGGAGATGGTGGTGGGGAATAAATAAAGTATTATTATTATTATTATCATTATTGTCATTATTATTATTTTACTGACACAAAAACACAGCATGTCACCCCAAATGAGATCTATATGCTGGATATTCACAAGTCGAACACTTCCCAAGCATCTAGGTCTGTGTATATTATTATTATTATTATTATTATTATTATTATTATTATTATTATTATTCTGACACAAAAACACAGTATGTCACAGCAAATGAGATTTCTATGCTGGATTTCGTATCACAAAACCACAAGTCAAAAACTTCCCAAGCGTCTAGGACTGTGTAATATATATTTTATATTAAATGTAATATTACTAATAATATTACAGTATAATGTTACAGTACAACGTATTATATAATACCAATATTGTGCTATGATAATAATATAATATATTTACTTTTTACTTGTAAGCTGCTCTGAGTCCCCTTCGGGTTGAGAAGGGTGCATATAAATGTAAGTAAATAAATAAAAATACATTATTATTCTTATTATTGTTATTATTATTTCATTGGGAAGCATTGGGAGGGGTCTTTTGTGGGGTGTAAATGCCAAGAAAGGGCTTTGTAAGGAGCATGCCAAAGGAAAAGATAGAATTGGAAGAGGCCTCCCGGGCCATTCAGCTTTCAAGAAGCAAGGAAATTGCAAACGAAGCACCCCCGACAGATGACCATCCAGCCTCTGCTTAAAAGCCTCCAAAGATAAGCGCAAAGGATCCATGGGAAAAGACTCGAGAGTTAGCAACAGTTCCATCAAGAGGTTTCCCCTTTGAGTAGATCCTATGAAGGTCCAGAAGATAAAGGGGGGGGGGTCTATACTTTGGAAGATGGGGGAAAGGGGTTTTTTTGGGGGGGGGGATTTAAAGGTCTCAGAGGGCAGTACTAATACTACTTCAGTCTCAAGGTCTCCAAAAACACAGCCAAACCATCTCCAAAAAAGGTCAAGAGGGGTCTCCAAAGGTATCTCCAAACAAACGCAAAGGTGGGGGCTCTTCAAGTCTTAAGGGGGTTCCCCAACACCCAACACTAAAAAGAGGAAAGGGCCCCCAAAGGGTCTCCAAAACTCCCAAAGCAGTTGCCAAAGCCCAAACTATTTGGGGAGGTGTCTCTTTAAAATCTGCCCCATAAACACTAAATGGGGAAAGGTGGGAATGCCCCCTTAATACCCCAAAGAGGGGGTCCATTTCTCTATTAAAGCCCCAAATGTGGGGTCTCTCTCTCATTGAATTACCCCACAAAAACAAGCAAAACAAAGGGCCCCAAAAGGGTCTTCAAAACACCCAAAGGAGTTGCCAAAGCCCAAACTATTTGGGGAGGTGTCTCTTTAAAATCTACCCTATAAACATTACATGGGGAAAGGTGGGAATGCCCCCTTAATGCCTCAAAGAGGGGGTCCATTTCTCTATTCAAGCCCTAAATTGGGGGTCTCTCTCTCATTGAATCACCCCACAAAAAAGAGCAAAACAAAGGGCCCCAAAAAGGTCTCCAAAACTCAAAAGCCCAAAGTATTTGGGGTGTTGTCTCTTTAAAACCCTTCCCATAAACACTAAATGGGGAAAGGTGGGAATGCCCCTTTGATACCCCAAAGAGGGGGTCTTGTTCTCTATTAATACCCCAAATGGGGGGTCTCTATCTCATTGAATCCCCCCACAAAAGGGAGCAAAACATAGGTCCCCCAAAGGGTCTCCAAAACACCCAAAGCAGTTGCCAAAGCCCAAAGTATTTGGAGTGCTGTCTCTTTAAAATCCACCCCATAAACACTAAATGGGGGGAGGTCGAGATGGCTCCTTGATGTCCCAAAGAAGGGGTCTTGTTCTCTATTTGATGCCCCAAATGGGGGGTCTCTCTCTCATTGAATCTCCTCACAAAAAAGAGCAAAACAAAGGGCCTCCAAAACTCAAAGCCCAAACTATTTGGGGAGGTGTCTCTTTAAAATCTGCCCCATAAACACTAAATGGGGAAAGGTGGGAATGCTCCCTTGATGCCCAAAGAGGGGGGCCCTTCCCCTATTTATACCCCAAATGGGGGGTTTCTCTCTCATCGAATCACCCCACAAAAACGAGCAAAACCAAGGGCCCCAAATATGTCTCCAAAACTACCAAAACAGTTGTCAAAGCCCAAACTATTTGGGGTGGTTTCTCTTTAAAACCCTCCCCATAAGCACCAAATGGGGGAGAGGTTGGGATGCCTCTTAATGCCCCAAAGAGGGGGTCCCTTTACCTATTGATACCCCAAATGGGGGGTGTCTCTGTAATTGAATCCCCCCACAAAAGAGAGCAAAACAAAGGGCCCCAAAAGGGTCTCCAAAACACCCAAAAGCAGTTGCCAAAGCCCAAACTACTTGGGGAGGTGTCTCTTTAAAATCTGCCCCATAAACACCAAATGGGGGGAGGTCGAGATGCCCCCTTGATGCCCCAAAGCGGGGATCCCTTTCCCTATTGATACACCGAAAGGGGGGTCTCCTTCTCATTGAATCACCACAAAAACATGCAAAACAAAGGGCCCCAAAAAGGTCTCCAAAACTCAAAAGCCCAAAGTATTTGGGGTGCTGTCTCTTTAAAACCCTCCCCATAAACACTAAATGGGGGGAGGTCGAGATGCCCCCTTGATGCCCCAAAGAGGGGGTCCCTTTCCCTATTGATACACCGAAAGGGGGGTCTCCTTCTCATTGAATCCCCCCACAAAAACAGGCAAAACAAAGGCTCTCCAAAAACTCCCAAAGCCGTGCGTAAAAGCTTTGCCAAAGCCCAAAGTATTTGGGGAGGTGTCTCTTTAAGACCCCCCCCCCTTTATCAACACTAAAAGGGGGGGAAGAGATGGGATGCCCCCTTGATAGAAGCCAGGGGGGCCCCTTTCCCAATGGAGGGGTCTCTCTCTCTCTCTCTCTCCTTGAAGCCCCCCACCGAGCCCAAAGAAGGACCCCCCAGGGCACAAAGCCGTGCGTAAAAAGCCGCAAAGAGCCTCCCTTTCCAAACCAAGACCCAAATTGAGGAGGGGGGGGGTGTTATTCAACAGGACGCTTCCCCAGGCCCCCGAGAGGGGTCTCCCTCCCTTAGGGACCCCCAAAGGGACCCCCAAATGGCCCACCTTAAGGCGCATCCGCCTCCTCCTCCTCCTCTTCTTCTTCTTCTGCTGCTCTTCTGAGTCTCCTCCTTCTCTTCCTTTTCCTCCTTCTTCTTCTCTAAGGCTCTCCATCCTCGGGGGGCCCTTGGACCCCCATCTGGGACCCCCGAGAGACCCCCAAAAAGGCCAAAAGGAAGAAGAGAGCAAGGCGGAGAGATGCCTGCTTGCCTGGCTTCCCGAAAGAGGAGAAGGAGGAGAAGGAGGAGAAGAGGGAGGAGGAGGAGGAGGAATCCAGGCAGCGACGGAAGTGATGGAAGGCTTTTGGGGAGGGACCGCTTGGTCAGAGCAGAGAGGCAAAGACCCCCCCCCCCCCGCCCCACACAAAGCCCTTCCCCCAAAAAGGGACGTTTCCCCTTTAAATGGCAAGAGGCTCCCTTTAGACTTGTTGCTCCCAAGGCTCCAGGTGATCTGGTTGGACACCTGGTTGGACACCTGGCTGGACGGGCATCTGTCGGGAGGGGTTAAGGGGTGCCCCTCCTCTCAGAAAAAGGGCTTGGGCTGCATGGCCCTCTTTGAGTGGCCCCTTATAGCGCAACTTGGGCCCTCTCTCCCTCCAAGTGTTTTGGACTCCCACCTCCCACAATTCCCACAAGAGTGGAAAGGGGTCATCCAAACCAAGGGGCACCATTCAACCCCTCCCGACAGATGCCCATCCAGACATTGGGCAACCTCCTCCCCAAGACTCCTTTAGACTTGTTGCTCCCAGGGCTCCAGGTGGTCTGATTGGCCAATGGCTGGATGGGCATCTGTTGGGAGGGGTTAAGGGGTGCCCCTCCTCTCAGAAAAAGGGCTTGGGCTGCATGGCCCTCTTTGAGTGGCCCCTTATAGCGCAACTTGGGCCCTCTCTCCCTCCAAGTGTTTTGGACTCCCACCTCCCACAATTCCCACAAGAGTGGAAAGGGGTCATCCAAACCAAGGGGCACCATTCAACCCCTCCCGACAGATGCCCATCCAGACATTGGGCAACCTCCTCCCCAAGACTCCTTTAGACTTGTTGCTCCCAGGGCTCCAGGTGGTCTGATTGGCCAATGGCTGGATGGGCATCTGTTGGGAGGGGTTAAGGGGTGCCCCTCCTCTCAGAAAAAGGGCTTGGGCTGCATGGCCCTCTTTGAGTGGCCCCTTATAGTGCAACTTGGGCCCTCTCTCCCTCCAAGTGTTTTGGACTCCCAAATCCCACAATTCTTAACAGCCTACCCAGGCCTGCTCTCTAGAGTGGAAAGGGGCCACCCAAAGAGGGCCACCCAAACCAAGGGGCACCACTTAACCCCTCGCAACAGATGCCCATCCAGCCATTTGGCAAGCTGCTTCCCAAGACTCCTTCAGACTTGTTGCTTCTGTGGAAAGGGGCCACCCAAAGAAGGCCATCCAAACCAAGAGGCACCACTTAATCCCTCCCGACAGATGCCCATCCAGCCATTTGGCAACCTCCTCCCCAAGACTCCTCTAGACTTGTTCCCCCCAGAGTTCTAGGTGGTCTGATTGCCAAATGGCTGGACGGGCATCTGTCGGGAGGGGTTAAGTGGTGCCCCTTGGTTTGGGTGGCCCTCTTTGGGTGGTGGTTTCCACTCTGTAGTGCAGGCCTGGGCCAACTTGGGCCCTCCCTCCAGCTGTTTTGGACTCCCAACTCCCACAATTCCCACAAGAGTGGAAAGGGGCCACCCAAACCAAGGAGCACCACTCAACCCCTCCCGACAGATGCTCATTCAGCCATTTGGCAACCTTCTCCCTAAGCTTCCTTTAGACTTGTTGCTCCCAGGGCTCCAGGTGGTCTGATTAGACACATGGCTGGACGGGCATCTGTCGGGAGGGGTTAAGGGGTGCCCCTCCTCTTAGAAAAATTGCTTGGGCTGCATGGCCCTCTTTGAATGGCTCTTTAGAGTCCAACTTGGGCCCTCCCTTTAAATGGCAAGAGGCTTCGTTTAGACTTGTTGCTCCCAAGGCTCCAGGTGGTCTGATTGGACAAATGGCTGGACGGGCATCTGTCGGGAGGGGTTAAGTGGTGCCCCTTGGTTTGGGTGGCCCTCTTTGGGTGGTGGTTTCCACTCTGTAGTGCAGGCCTGGGCCAACTTGGGCCCTCCCTCCAGCTGTTTTGGACTCCCAACTCCCACAATTCCCACAAGAGTGGAAAGGGGCCACCCAAAGAGGGCCACCCAAACCAGGGGGCACCACTTAACCCCTCCCGACAGACGCCCATCCAGCCATTTGGCAACCTCCTCCCCAAAATTCCTTTATTGTTGTTGCTCCCAGGGCTCTAGGTGGTCTGATTGGACAAATGGCTGGACGGGCATCTGTCGGGAGGGGTTAAGGGGTGCCCCTCCTCTCAGAAAAAGGGCTTGGGCTGCATGGCCCTCTTTGAGTGGCCCCTTATAGCCTAGGCCAACTTGGGCCCTCCCTCCCTCCCTCCAAGTGTTTTGGAGTTCAACTCCCACCATTCCTAACAGCCGGTAGGAACGCAAAAGCATTAGCGTAATATTATAATATTATTATGATTATGCAAATACAGAATTAAATATAAACAAGTATTTTGAAAACCCAATGGAAGCCTCTTCAAGAGAAGGAGATTCCCACCAGAGTTCTGTGCAGTCTGTGGGCCCCTCCAGACAGGCCCCTGTACCCCCATTGTCAGCGCCCATTGTCTTTAAGTGCAGGCCGAGGTCTTGAGGCACTTATCTATTTAATTCTGTATCTGCATAATCATAATAATATAATAATAATCATATGCCAATGCTTTTGCGTCTCCTTCGGGAGAGATAAAAGCTGGGTATCAATAAATATAATGACAATAACAATAATTCTCTGAATGTGTTTTAAAGCAGAGGCTGGGTGGCCATCTGTCAGGAGGGGTTAAGTGGTGTCCCTCCTCTCGGGAAAGGGCCTGGGCTGGGTGGCCTTTGGGTGGCCCTTTTGACTTTATAGTGGAATTTAGGCCCTTTCTCTATCCCAGGATCTGATCCCAGGTTTTCTATTTTAAGATGGATTATGTAAGTCCGCACTGCCAGATAATCTGGGATAAACAGAAATAATAATAATAATAATAATAATAATAATAATAATAATAATAATAGCCCGCCAAGGTGGTCCCAGTGGTGATGGGCACATTGGGTGCAGTGCTTCATGACCTTGGCCTGCACTTAAAAACAATCAGTGATCAGCCAGCCACGGTGGTCCCAATGGTGATGGGCACAGTGGGCACAGTGCCTCATGACCTTGGCCAGCACTTAAAAACAATCGGCGATTAGCCAACTAAGGTGGTCCCAGTGGTGATGGGCACATTGGGTGCAGTGCTTCATGACCTTGGCCTGCACTTAAAAACAATCAGAGATCAGCCAGCCAAGGCGGTCCCAGTGGTGATGGGCACACTGGGCGCAGTGCCTCATGATCTTGGCCTGCACTTAAAAACAATCAGTGAAGGTGGTCCCAGTGGTAGTGGGCACACAGGGCTCAGTGCCTCATGATCTTGGCCTGCACTTAAAAACAATCAGCAATCAGCCAGCCACGGTGGTCCCAATGGTGATGGGCACAGTGGGCACAGTGCCTCGTGACCTTGGCCAGCACTTAAAAACAATCGGCGATTAGCCAACTAAGGTGGTCCCAGTGGTGATGGGCACACTGGGTGCAGTGCTTCATGACCTTAGCCTGCACTTAAAAACAATCAGGGATCAGCCAGCCACGGTGGTCCCAGTGGTGATGGGCGGGAGTCTGGTGGGCATCTGTTGGGAGGGATTGGATGGTGCCTCCCTGCATCATCATCATCACCATCATCATTATTATTATTTGAAACACAACAAGATGAGTATTATTATTATTATTATTATAGCCAGCCAAGGCGGTCCCAGGGGTGATGGGCACACTGGGCGCAGTGCCTCATGACCTTGGCCTGCACTTAAAAACAATCAGTGCTCAGCCAACCAAGGTGGTCCCAGTGGTGATGGGCGAGAGTCTGGTGGGCATCTGTCGGGAGGGATTGGATGGTGTCTCACTGCATCATCATCACCATTATTATTATTTGAGACACAACAAGATGAGTATTATTATTATTATTATTATTATTATTATTATTATTATTGGTTCTGCAGCGTTGGTGCTCCCCAAGCGACGCCATCCTGGGAGTTGTAGTTTTGCAAAAAGTCCCTACTCCCCAAAAGTCTTGCGAAGGGAAGTCCGCTCTGGTCAGTCTGCTCGGGCCATGGGTCACCTGTTGTCCGAGCCCAGCCCAAGGCCGAGCAACAAGGAGGGAAAGGCAAGCGTGAGGAAGAGGGCGGACAGGTAATTAATTATTCGCGCCTTTGTTTGTTTGTTTGTTTGTTTGTTTATGGGACTATTCTAATAAAAGGTCTGAATGAGCAGGCACGTCTGCAATAAATAATGGCACTCTCTTTATTGAGCCTTCCCTCCAGATGCCCCGGGCGCCCATCAAGGTGGAAAGGGGGGGGGGGTCCCTTCGGAATGCAGCACCCATCGCCCCAAAGGAGAGGAAGGAAGGAAGGAAGGAAGGAAGGAGGGAAGGAAGGAAGGAAGGAAGGAAGGAAGGAAGGAAGGAAGAGGGAAAGGAAAGGAAGGAATGGGATGGGATAGGAAAGGGAAGGAAGGGAAGAAGGAAGGGGAAGGAAAGAAGGAGAGGAAAGGAGAGAAGGGAAGGGAAGGGAAGGAGGAGGAAGGAAAGGAAGGAAGGAAGGGATGGAAGAAAGGAGAAGCAAGAAGGAAGGGAAGAAAGGGAAGGAAGGAAGGAAGGAAAAGTAAAAAAAAGAAGGAAGAAAGAAGGAAGGATGGAAGAAACAGGAGGAAAAGAGGAGGAAGGATAAAGGGAGAAAGGAAGGAAGGGGAAGGGGAAAAGAAGAACAAAAAGAAGGAAGGGTGGAAAGAAGAAAAGGAAAGAGGGAAGTGTGGAAAGAAGGGATGGGATAGGATAGGAAAGAGGAAGGGAAGGAAAGAGGGAGAGAGAGGGGGAAGGGAAGAAGGAAGGGAAAGCAAGGAAGGAAGGAAAGGTGAAAGAAATGAATGGAAAGGAAAAGGAAGGAAGGAAGGAAGGAAAGAAAAGAAGGGGAGGAAAAAGGAAAAGAAGAAGGAAAGGGAAGGAGGGAGGAAGAAAGAAAAAGGGAAGGAAAGATGGTGTGAAGAAAAGGAGGAAGGAAGGAAGGATGAGAGAAATGAATGACAAGGAAAAGGAAGGAGGGAAGGAGGGAGGGAGGGAGGGAGGGAGGGAGGGAGGGTGAAAAGAAGGGATGGGATAGGAAAGGAGAGGAAAGGAAGAATGCGAAGGGAAAGAAGAAGAAAAGGGGGAAGGAAGGAAGGATGAGAGAAATGAATGGCAAGGAAAAGGAAGGAGGGAGGGAGGGTGAAAAGAAGGGATGGGATAGGAAAGGAAGAATGCGAAGGGAAAGAAGGAGGAAGAAAAGGAGGAAGGAAAGCAAAGGAAGGGAGGAAGGAAGGAAGGAAGGAAGGAAGGAAGGGTGAGCGACATGAATGGCAAGAAAAAGGAGGGAGGGGGAAGGGTGAAAAGAAGGGATGGGATAGGAAAGGAGAGGAAAGGAAGAATGCGAAGGGAAAGAAGGAGGAAGAAAAGGAGGAAGGAAGGAAGGATGAGAGAAATGAATGGCAAGGAAAAGGAAGGAGGGAGGGAGGGAGGGTGAAAAGAAGGGATGGGATAGGAAAGGAGAGGAAAGGAAGAATGTGAAGGGAAAGAAGGAGGAAGAAAAGGAGGAAGGAAAGCGAAGGGAGGAAGGAAGGAAGGAAGGAAGGAAGGAAGGAAGGAAGGAAGGGTGAGCGACATGAATGGCAAGAAAAAGGAGGGAGGGGGAAGGGTGAAAAGAAGGGATGGGATAGGAAAGGAAGAAGGGGAAGGGAAGGAAGGAGGAAGGAAGGAGGAAGGAAAGGAAAGGAAGGAAGGAAGGAAGGGTGAGAGAAATGAATGGCAAGGAAAAGGAGGGAGGGAGGGAGGGAGGAAGGGAGGGAGGGTGAAAAGAAAGGATGGGAAAGTAAAGGAAAGGGGAGGAAAGGGAAGGGAAAGCAAGCAAAGTAGGAAGGATGAAAGAACCAAATGGAAAGGGAAAGAAGGAAGGTGAAAAGAAGGGATAGAAAAGGAAAAGGTAGGAAAGGGGGGCAAGAAGGAAGGAAGCAGAAGGAAGAAAACAAGGAAGGGAGAGGAAGGAAGGAAGGAAGGAAGGAAGGAAGGAAGGAAGGAAGGAAGGAAGGGTGAGTGAACCGAATAGAAAGGGAAGGAAGGGTGAAAAGAAAGGAAGCGAGGAAAGGAAGGAGGAAAGAAAAGGAGGAAGGAAGGAAGGATGAGAGAAATGAATGGCAAGGAAAAGGAAGGAGGGAGGGAGGGAGGGAGGAAGGGTGAAAAGAAGGGATGGGATAGGAAAGGAAAGGAAAGGAAAGGAAAGGAAAGGAAGAAGGGGAAGGGAAGGAAGGAGGAAGGAAGGAGGAAGGAAAGGAAAGGAAGGAAGGAAGGAAGGGTGAGAGAAATGAATGGCAAGGAAAAGGAAGGAGGGAGGGAGGGAGGGAGGAAGGGTGAAAAGAAGGGATGGGATAGGAAAGGAAAGGAAAGGAAAGGAAAGGAAGAAGGGGAAGGGAAGGAAGGAGGAAGGAAGGAGGAAGGAAAGGAAAGGAAGGAAGGAAGGAAGGGTGAGAGAAATGAATGGCAAGGAAAAGGAGGGAGGGAGGGAGGGAGGAAGGGAGGGAGGGTGAAAAGAAAGGATGGGAAAGTAAAGGAAAGGGGAGGAAAGGGAAGGGAAAGCAAGCAAAGTAGGAAGGATGAAAGAACCAAATGGAAAGGGAAAGAAGGAAGGTGAAAAGAAGGGATAGAAAAGGAAAAGGTAGGAAAGGGGGGCAAGAAGGAAGGAAGCAGAAGGAAGAAAACAAGGAAGAGGAAGGAAGGAAGGAAGGAAGGAAGGAAGGAAGGAAGGAAGGAAGGAAGGGGGAAGAAGAAGGGAAGGAGACAAAGGAAAGGAAGGGGAAAGAACGGAAAGGAAGGGAAGGGAGGAGAAAGGAAAGGAATGGAAAGAGGGAAAAGGGGAAGGAAGAGGGATGAGAGTGGTCAGTCCAGAAGGTCAAGGCCTGGCCGAACCACAACCCACGATGGATGGAGCCGTGGCAGCGCAAGTGGTGCCAGGCTGCATCTGAGAGGAGAGGCGCTGCACGGGAGCCTCGGACGTGGCACCCCCGAGAGTGGCATGTGTCCTGTCGGAAAGGCGGGAGGAGCGCATGGGATCCCTCGTGGGCAGGGGCTGGGGAGGCGTTTCTGGGCGTGGGTGGGTGCCGTGATGCGTGGCCGGCCGCATTCCTGCCCCACAGGCAAGTGCGCACAGGCTGCCCCTCTGGCTCTGGCTCTGGCTCTGGCCACAGGCAGCCCCCAGCGGCAGGAATGCGCCTCCAAGGGCCAGGCCCAGGCCCAGAGAGAGCCAGTGGCACTCCACCTGCCGTGGCTCCACATTATGGGGTCTTGGGAGATATAGTTTCCCAAGGCCCGTAGCCTCCTCTGGGTGCATCTACAACACATGGTGGAAAGAATGCAAGTGTGGCACTGCTTAAACTCAATGTTACGAGGTCCTGGGAGATCTAGTTTCCCAAGGCCCGTAGCCTCCTCTGGGAGCATCTGCCTCCTCTGTGCCCGTCAGTGTCCGTAACATTGGCTCCGCTCAAGAGTGGGGGTGGGGGGGGCCTCTATTTCTGGGTGGAAGGGGCCCTTCTGCCCACGCGCTTGCCCTCCTCGCTGGTCCCGTTCGCCGCGTCCAGGCTCTTCTCCGCAAAGGTGTTGACCACGAAAATGGGCATCTCCAGCTCCTTTTCCGGGGGGCTCCCCTTGGCCTGGCGCACCTCCTCTTCCTCTTCCTCCTCTTCCTCGGGGCTCAAGGGGTGATGGAAGGCCACCCCAAACTGGTAGGTAGCCGTGCCCAGCGCCGAGCCCAACATGGGGGCCACCACCGGCACCCACCACCAGCCCTGCCCGGCACTGAAAAGAAGAAGAAGAAGGAGGCATCAAAAAAGACATTCCGCCTTCCTTCCTTCCTTCCTT